GTGTTAAAAATGGGAACAGGATGGTCTACAAAGCTGATTTCTAAATTGAGGAAATAGACAATTCCTCTTTTACAGTTTATTTCCTCCCCTCTTTTAACTGAGCAATTTTGAAATAAAACTATGCTTTTCTACATTTATTTTGAAGTGAATACAGTAGAGAAATTTGCTGCCCAAGGCAGTAGGAGGAAGTATTGCTGCTTATCCCCAGTACACCTGCAGTTCAGGGACTGAGTACAATAAAGATGAATCACTGAAAATAGTCAGAACAACTGTTTCTCATTCATCTTCCAGCACATCAACCCTTTTTCCTCCAATTAATGCGTTATTGATAATTGAATGTAATACTCAAGATGAAAATGTTATGCTTAAGTGAGAGACTCTTTCAATGCAATAAAGCATTAGTTTTTCTGGACAATAGTGTTCTAAGAAGGACTTGTAATTGTTTTCATTTAACTTCTGATTGATTAAAACACAGAGAGTTAAATTTTCTTTCTGCTTCTGCTGATGATTTCAGGTGCAATTTCTCACTACTACTGCCAGGTAGCAAATTTAATATTGCTCTTATTAAGGTTTTTTAGACCAAAGTGCTGCCAAAAGTCATCAACTGGCTTGTCAGAGCTTGACTTTGTGTGGCTGTTCCTTAGTGGGACCCATTTTTTGTCCTACTGTGCACATCCACTTTTGCTTTTTATAGGAATATTTAGGAGAATTTCTGCTTCTCCCATCCTGTTTCTTGGTGTCTTAAAATTTTTCGGAACCAGCATGGGATTTTGTTGAGGTTTCATTTACAGCTTGTAACCATGTTTTAGTCAAGAAGCCAAAGCTATTAAAATTACACCACTGAAACAACTCCTTCAGGACAAAGTTCCTTAAACAGAAAGTGCTATTTTTTTCTGTCTTTTCAACACAAACTCTTTCAGCATCTTTCACTTTTATGGCACTCAGGACCAGTTGCAGTCGTGGATTCGGGGAAATGTGAGCATCTGTCCCCGGTCACTCTTTATATTTGATGAAATGGATAAAATGCATGCAGGACTCATTGACTCAATCAAGCCCTTCCTGGACTACTATGAGCTGCTGGATGGGGTGTCCTACAGAAAAGCCATCTTCATCTTCCTCAGGTAAACAGTGGCTTCTCAGTGTTGCTGTCCTGTACACTCCATGCTTTTACTTCATAATTTCAACTTTTAAAACTACCCCAATCTACAATCTCTGTTTTCTCTTTACTTAGCAATGCAGGAGCTGAAAAGATAACAGAGGTAGCACTAGATTTCTGGAGAAATGGGAGGACAAGGGAAGATATCCAGCTCACAGATATCCAAAATGCACTCTCTGTGTCTGTCTTCAACAACAAAAATAGTGAGTAAAACTGGGATTGCTTTTGAGGTGGTAAAAGTAACACAAAAGGGATGGGCTGCATTTAGCTGCATTTTTAAAAGCTATCGTTTCTTCTTGATGTGGCCTCCAGATTTTGGCTTGTGAGGAACAAAAATGCAGTTTTGGGGCCTGCAGTTGGCTCCCAGGATGTGTGAAGATTAAGGACCTCAGTGTACACCTTGGCCACCAGCCTGTTTGCTGCCTGTTGGACTGCATGTTTTGGGGGAAGTGCTTCATAGTCTTCCTTGCACAGGACTTGTGGCGAAAAGGGGTTCTGACATAATAATGCTCTAAATTTAGCATTGGAAGCAAACTCACTGTACTTTAAAAGTTCAGATAGAAGTTCCAAAAAAAGGAATAAGAAAACTGGCCTGGGAGAGTTGATAGGAGAGAGAAAATTTGTCCTCTAGGTGAGACCAGCACCTGGAGAGCAAGGCTCAAGCACAGTCAAAATTCATTCATTCAGCCTAAAGGACCACATTTATGTGTTTGTCCAAACTTTTATGCACAAAGTACCATGAGAAGGGGCTTGTATTGACTTGTGCATTACAGAGCTCTAAAATCCCAGGTGAATTCTTAGCTGTGATCTGCCCCTCTCTCCTGTTCAACCCGTGGTAGTGTTTAACTAGAGAAATACTAATAAACCTCTTTCCCTTTGCAGGTGGATTTTGGCACAGCACCTTGATTGACAGAAACCTCATTGACTACTTTATTCCTTTCCTGCCTCTGGAATACAAACATGTGAAAATGTGTGTCAGGGTTGAGATTGAGTTGCGTGGCTACACTGTGGATGAAGACATTGTGAGCAGGATAGCTGATGAAATGACTTACTTTCCCAGAGAGGAGAGAATCTATTCAGATAAAGGATGTAAAACTGTGGATGCAAAGCTGGATTATTATTATGACTTCTAATGCTTTATTGCTACAACCTGCAAAGAAGCAAATTTAACTTAATCAAAAAGTGCAGGACCTGAGACATTTCATTTTTAAGTACTTTCTAAAGAAAGGAACACTATTTTTTTTTTAACTGGTGTGTAAATAAGCAGCAGTGCCTCTGCATTTTTGTCACCAGTCACGGCTCCTGAGTGCTTCAGCCTTGTGCTGTGAAGGTAAGAAGGAACTGCTTTGGGAATTTCTGGATCTGGAAGGGCTCAAGACTCCTTGAATCATGTGTCCATCATCAGAACCCTTTGGCAGACTCTCAACAGGTATAGAAGGACTGAGACTGTGACCTAATTTTAATTTGATTTTGCTCTGATGTGGATGATCTCTAGACAATATTGAGAATTTGAATCAAAGTTCCTGTGTCTCTGAAAGCCTTTATTGATCCTGTGGGGGAATATGCATTAAAAACAGAACATGTCTTTTTGCCTTCAACACCTTGGGCCCAGTAAAGATAAGGGGGGGATATCTGGAATTAAAAAATCTGGGCTGTTCTTTCCAACATCATACAGTGCCATTGTCTTTTTCAAAACCGAGGTATAATTTAGTCTCCTATGTGTCAAACGAAGAATATAAAAGTCTTTGTTGTGAATAGTGTTCAGAGAGCAGAATTAATATTACAAGGAAGTGAGTTAAAATCCTTGAATGCCACACTGGTGTACTTAGTTCCTATTTTAGATTAGTTTTTATGTTTGAAGTTGCCCACAGTGGGCTCTCTCAGGAGTGATCTCAGGAGGGAGAACTGTGCTCTGGGAGTGGTGAGTCAGCTTCATGGAAAAGCTGCAGTGTCATGGGAAATGTGTACAGATTAAATTTTACACCATGGAAATTGAAAAGAGGTTTCTCTTCTTCATTTACATGTTGAATTCAGGGGTCAGCTTGCAGGGGTTTTCCTTTTTCTTCTTCTAACCATACTGTGTGCCTTTGAGGCAGGTGATAGAGGTGATAGAGGCAGATCTAAAGGCATTTGGAAAAAACCCATAAAATATATCTACTGAAGTTACTGTCAAAGGTGTCAGACATGTTTCTGAATGTGAGCACTGCAGAGGCTTTTTTCATTCCAGTTGCTGTTCAAAATAAACTTTTCCCATCAGAACTGTATTTCTTAGCTACCTTCTGGCATTCTTTGCATTCAGTGATTTGATACTAATTTTGCACAAATTTACTTCATCTTGAGGAAGAGCACACTGCATTCCTGGCTGTTCATGTTGTGCTTGAGTGCAGGTATCTCCTTTCTGTAGTTCAAAGGGCAGAGATAGGAGGAGATGTGACTCTTTGCTGTCTGGTGAAACAAATCAAGCTTGGAGTGGAGAGTGCACTTCTGGACCATTTATACTAATTACAGTTGTGTGGTTTTTGTAGAGGCAGACTTCCTAGATGCATGTGTGCTCAATAAGGATGAACTTGTCTTGTAGTTAAAACCCTGCTGCTCATCTCCTCCCACTGTGGTACCACTGCCTGAACACTGCAGGCTCTGTTTGAAGCCACCCACATTTTCATTGGCAGCATCTTGGCATTTTCTCTGCAAGGGGGGGAAAAAAAGGCTAGTGAGGCTCCAACTGTCCATTTGCTCTGAAGATGTGTGATATGCAAATTATCAATCACAATATTTGTTAACAAATGAGTGCTTTGAACTCAGGTATTTATCTGTTTCTTTGACTTCCTGATTATAGCAACTAGCTGGCTAATGGGAGAAAGCAGATGTAGTGATGATGAACTTGTACTATGGTCTGGTACCAAGAGAACCAAGCTGTCTTGTGGCTCTTCCAGAACTTAGTTTTGCTTTGTGTGCCAGTGCATCAATACAAGCATTATTATACATTGGTAGCCAGTATTTCATTGTATCACAACCCTGAATAGCCCAGGGTAGATGGAAAACTTCCTCTGGAGAGCAGGAATGATGTGGAAAAGGTGGAGTCTGCCTCTATTTAATCTCTTGCTCTGCAGACCTGGCCAGGAGCAGCTCCGTCTGGGTAAAAGATAGAGCTGTGCCTGAAATCACTCCCAAATTTGATCCTTCTGATCCTGTTATTCCTCCCCTGTATGGTTTCAGGGCTAAGACCCTCACTCTTTCTTGCTATGACTGGGTAACTTTGGCCATTATTCTATTTAATAGGCTATTTTAGACTGGCTCAGATAACTTAAAGGAAAATGTCGCCGGGGAAAGGTCTGCTGCCCAGAGAAACAGTCCACTGGCCATGTGAGAGGAGTTGAGCAGTCCCAAGAGTGAATTTTGTTCTTACCAGAGTCCAGGACAAGCAGCTGCTGCTTTAGTTCAGCTTTCTGCAGTGAGTGTTCTGAGATCTCACACTGTGCTCATAAAATCAGAGGCCATGGTTTAAATTCACTGAAATAGGAAGTGCTGCTGTCCTGCCAGCCAGAGGCAGCCTGGCCCCAGAGCCTTGTGTGCCCAGGGAGGGACAAGCAGCTGAGCTGTCCCATGAGTGGTGAAGTCAAAGTGAACAGCAGAGCCTGTGCTTCCCAGGCAGCTCCCTGACATTTCCTGGTGCATCCTTAGAGCACAGCACGTGATTCACAACTGACCCTTCAGTGAGGTGTGAGCTGCTGCCAACAGCTGCCTTACACTTTTAAAGGAAGTGTAACAGAAATGTGCAGTGCAGCTGGTTGCAGACTGCATAAACTAGTATTTTCCTATTATCTGAAAATGATTAAACAAGAGAGAAGAAGTAATGTAGGATTTATTCCAACTGCACTACAGTAGTATTTAGTGTTTTGAAATAGCACAGGTACTTTCTTCTTGGAGTACGTGAAACTGGATGCAGCATATACAACTATGAATAAATCAGTTAGTAGGCAAAACATCACACTGAAAAGTGACAGTCCAATGTCCCAAGGTTAATGGCTTCCTAGTGTTTGGCTCTGGAGATTGCATCAGTGTGAACAGTTTGCCAACGTTTGACAAACTCTGGTGGGGCTGTAAAAGGCAATCAACACTTAATTTAGAGCTTAACATGAGTGCTAAACTCCGTTGTAATTTGAATTGACATAATTGTAATGAAACCTATAATTGAGCATCACCTCTTAAAGAAAGTTTAAGAACAAGTGAGGAAATAGATGATGCAGCACAAAACCGGCCCTATGCCTTGTACCAATTTAAAACCACAGTACAATCAACAAAGTGAAAGGCACTTCTGTCTTGCATTACATTTGATACACAACTGATGGGAGACTAAGAGTTAAAGCTTGCAACAGCCTTTAAAACTCAGTCTCCCCACTGGGTGAAGGTTAAATTGATCTTTCCCAGCTTAACTCATCACTCACCCTTTCACATAAACATTATTTAACGTAAAAAGCTACTATAAAATGTACTTAACTAGCGAGGTATAGGATTGTTGTCATTGCTTACCCTTCAGCATAAAAATATACTATTAAAAATAATTTCTTCCATTCAAGTGTCTTCCACGCAAGGTGAGAGTAGCATTATCCACACCTTGACTATTAGGAGCAGTGGGGCAGCACTACTAAACATCTTACAGTCTTCAGGCCCAGGAGCCCACACACAGGCAAGCTCTTACTTCCTCTTCCCCTGCCCTCTCCATTATTTAGTAACAGAGTCCTAGGAGCTCATAATGACTTCCCATATTACTGTACTAGGAAATGTAGGATGATCCCCAGCTGAGCACAGGAAGATTTCTACCATATCATCTTTATACTGCAATGCCCCAAGGAGTTCATCCTTACAGACCTGATCATAGTTCAGAATACAGCACACATCCCTCCACTTCATATGAATGTGAACAGGACTATGCACATGGAAGGGAGTACGACTATCTGGAAAAATTCCTCTGTTTTCCTTTGTTCCAATCTGATTTATGTGGAAAGAGGAATTAAATACGTAATAATCCCAGCACTTGGAATAATAAAGCAGGAGAGTCTGTATCCAGTGCTGTGTGTCACACTAGAAATTCTCTATAGATTAAAAGAAAACTAAAGGGGGCAAAACTGGGATACCAGCCAGTTCAGAGATGAACAGCACTTAAAAGCCAGGCTGGATGGGACTATGAGTGACCTGATTCAGTGGGAAGTGTCCCTGCCCATGGCAGAGGATGGCATTAGATGATCTCTAAGTCCCAATTCTATGTTAAGTTAAAATAAAAACAAACAACCAACAAAACCAAACACACAAGCTATGAAGCCCATACAGCTCACTCTGGTATTTTCACCATACTCCCTGTCAACAGTAAAAAAGTGTGAGTGCAAATACATATCCAAAAGCTTTGAAAGTGCTTTGGAGACTCAAAAGTGGAAATCAACCCCTGGCTTTCATATCTCTCATCACAAGGTCTTCGTGAATATCCAACTTGGCCTGTACAGTCTTGCAGCCTTTATCAGAGTAGATCTTCTGCTCCTTGGGGAAGTAGGTCATCTCATCAGCCACTGCCTGAACAATCTTCTCATCCACATCATAGCCACGGGCTTTCATTTCAGCCCTGACACACATCTTCACATGCCTTTGCTCCAGGGGCAGGAAAGGGACAAAGTAGTCAATAAGGTTCCTGTCAATGATGCTGCTGTGCCACAGCCCACCTGGATAAATTGAGGGGAGAAAAAAATCATAAGAAGGAATTTCTCTAAACTTGATCCTGTATATGACAGGATCCACAGACCAGACTGAATTCACAGTTTGTCTCAGGCACTGAGGAATGAGTTTCCCATTTTGGGGGCAAAGTGACTTACTATTCTTGTTGTTGAAGACTCCTACAGAGAGCAAGGTCTCCAGGTCTTTCAGCTGAATATCTTCCCTGCGCTTCCCACTTGTCCAGAAGTCAAGAGCTGCTTTGTTAATTAAATCCCCACCTGCATTGCTGATCATAAAAGAAAAATGTACAGTGGTGAAATACAGACACAACTGAACCAGAACTTCTTTTGCAGCCAGTTACACATATTGCTAATCTCCACAATACTGAACAAATCATCAAAAAGAATCCTATAAGCCAAAATTTAGGGAAAGCCTCCAATTCTTTAAGTAGCCATCAGTGTGTGCTGGGTTGCCCTCAGTAGCAGCCAAGCACCTACACAGCCACTTGCTTACTCCCTCCTGCCTCAGTAGAATGGAAGGAGAAAATAGGAAGAACAGAAGTCTGAAGATTTGTGGGTCAGGATAGTTTAACAGGATGAGAAAAAAAGAGGAGAAAAAAAACCCAAGGTGGACTAAGGAAATCACTCACCACCCCCACAGTCAGACCAATGCCCAGGCAAATGCTGAAGAGCCATCACCTTAAAGCTGAAACCCCACTTTTTCCTCCACCTCAGTTTTTACTGCTGAGCATGGCATGCCACAGTATTAAATATCCTCCTGGGCAGTTCAGGTCAGCTGTCCCATCTGTGTCCCCTCCCATCCTCCTGTACACCTCCACACATCCAAAGCCTACTGTGGGAAAAGCCTTGAAGCTTTGCAAATATCATCCAGAAAGGGGAAAAACATTGTGGTGTTATCAACACTCTCATAGTACAAATCCAAAACAACACCAAACTAGCTGCTCTGAAGATATTTAACTCCATGCCAGCAAGGTCCAGTACTTGGTGCGCCCATCCCAAAATGTGAACTCTCTTATGTCCCGTGCTCGGGGCCAGCTTCATGAGCTCAGCACGCTGCAGCGGCCATGCACAGCATAGACCTGCTCCACTACAGCCACAGGCACAAGCTCAGAGTGCTCCCCACTGTCTTTGCACAGAGAATCTTCCCTCCAGAGCATTTTTTTTTTGGTGTTCTTTGAATGAGGTCCCCAAGAAGCATCATCATCATAAATAAATATTCAATATCTCAAAATGACAGAAATTGGTGCCACGGACCTGAGGAAGATGAAGATGGCTTTCCTGTAGGACACCCCATCAACCTCCTCGTAATAATCTAAGAAGGGCTTGATGGCATCAATGACACCTGGATGCATTTTGTCCATCTCATCAAAAATGAAGACAGAGGAGGGGCAGGCACTGACATTGCCTCGAATCCAGTTCTGCAGCTGTTCCTGGAACAAGAGGTTGAAAGCCACTGAAAAACAAGTACTGGATGTACTGCAAGATTCTTCTATGTGACAGATTCTGGGGACACTCTCAAATCTCAGTATCCCACACTCACTGGCTGGTGAATGAAAGAGGAAAAAACAAGAAAATGGAATCACCCAACACATGCACACCAACATCCAGCCAGAGCTAGCGCAACAACCATCTTGGAAACCAATGCCCCCCCATTTTTTCCTTCTTCAACCCCCATTTCTATGGCTGAGCACGACACCATGTGGTGTGAAATATCCTTCTGGCCAACGAGGGCCTGCTGTCCAGGCTGTGCCCCCTCCCCATCTCTTGCCCACCCCACTGCACAATATGAGTAGTGAAAACTAGCAAGCTTTGAAGGTGTGCAACAGCCAAAACACCACTGTGTTCTCAACATTATCAACAGTGTTTTAGTCATAAATACAAAACACGGCCCCGCGGGGGCTGTGGAGAAGGTTCCTTCCATCCCGGAGAGCCAGGATAACGCAGCTGGAATGACAAACTCTTCTTGCAGCGAGCACGGGAATCAGCAGATGGCATCAGTGAGAGGGTAGCGCTAGGAAATGGAAACTATCTCGGCGTTTTGGTGTCTTTTACTTTATGCATGAACTTCCCCTCCCATCTCTCCTAAGCATCAAGTTTGGAATATACAGTTGCACACCTCCAGCTGTCATGAACATGAATCAGAATAGTCTGAGTTGGAAGGCACCCACAGCTTTGAAGTGAATGGCCCATACAGGGATCGAACTCACAACCTGGGCATTATCAGCATCATGTTTCGATCAGCTGAGCTCATCCCAGTGGGAACCTGCGGGAGATGTGCAGGACAGGCCCCAGCAGGGGGTTTAGGAACAGACTGGGGAAAACCGGGCCAGGTCCTACCCCTCCTCACCTTGTAGAGCTTGACCTGGTCCTGGTGGGGGAAGTGTAGGGTGGCCAGGAAGAGATGGACGAACTTGCTGCGCAGGCCGGCGGGGTGGACCTGCTCCGCCAGGATCTGGCTGAGGAAGTTCTTGCCGGTGCCGGCCCAGCCGTGCAGCGACAGCATCAGCGGCTTCTTGGGGCTGGGGTTGTTGCTGAAGCCCAGCACCGCCTTCAGCACCACGTCCTTGGCCAGGTGCTGCCCGAAGAGCCGGTTGTCCAGCTGCGCCTTCAGCGCTGCGGGGAGAGGGACAGCTCAGCACCGC